TTTTCCTCAAGACATTTGAATTTAAAGGAGGAATGAATTATTGAAAGAACTCAATGCTTAATACAATTTGACCAGTGGTGGTCCACTTGAGCACTGTGGATTGACTGGAGGAGGTATAATAGAGTGATGTCTTTATATGCTCTTCCCTCTACCCCATATAGCTAAAACCTGTGACATTTACTATAAGGGATTTAATTTTGGGAGTTAGTCTTCTCAGGGATACAGTGTGAACAATGCATGTCCTGTCATGACAAACTATAACCATCTCCTGAGTCAGAGTGTTCCTGGGATATGGATAGTGCTAGAAATTCTGGAAAAGGGTCTGACTATGCTAGGGATGGGAAAGAGATAGGAAAGTCCTTTCAAGGCTCTCCCACCCTTTCTATGAGCTTAACTTTTACATGCCATCTAAGCCAAATCTTCATTTGCTCCTGAAGTCACTTTAACACTCAGGGACAAAACAATAACTGGGTCAACTTATACTTGCTATGTTCTGATTAAAATTTTCTCCATCTAGGCAAGAAAGACTGAAGAAACAATGTGTTCTCTAGAAAGAATGAGAGTCATTTCAACGAACATTTTTGATTGAACAACTTAGCAGTTGACTACAGTCTATTTGAAAAGCACAAACCTCATCATTGTTTCAAAACAAGTACCATGTCGAGAATCGCCTAGCTAAAGGAAACCAACTTGATTCTCTTCTTGAATAAATACTATTTTCCCTGAAGTGGGTGGATTGCAGGCTTATGGAGAAGAGCAGGATACAGTCTTAATAATGCTTTGAAAGAAACTTATTCACCAGGGAGGGTGAATCGACTCCCACATATATTTGCTAATATAGAAGGATTTTGATGTTAGTGTTCATTGATTACTGAATTAAGCAATCAATACTGTTGTTTTATAAAAGGGACCACCGCAGACTGGCTTGTTGTACTTAATAAGAGTGTTGGGAAAATAATTATCCAGTTTCTTCATCAGTGGTGATACAGCTTAACCCAGCAAGTCATTAAGAATTCCCCTCCATGCAGTTTTCCTATCAGCAAACACTGCCTATTGTATGAACTACCACAGCAGGGGATAGCTCCTGTGCTGCCTTCCAGAGAATTTCTCTCCTTTAGTGAGAAGAAAAGAAAAGAAGAGGAAGCTGGAGGGAAAGCACCTCCTGAAGCAATTCAGCAGAGAAAGGAATCCAGGCCCTAATGGGAAGATTGCAATGTCTAAACTGACCCAGCCACAAAAGGGAAGATGCACAAATGCTGTCATTCTCTAAAGTTCTCTCTCAACAGGCAATTGTGTAACGGAAAAACCCTGGGCTCTGGTTTGGGACTAGATGTTATAATTAGACGGTAGGAATTTTAAAAATTATGTGACAGGTTCATACTCATTTATTCCTTCCACCCTCTTTTTTTCCCCCTGTTCAGTTCAAGAAAAGACAATTTGCAGTACATATGAAGGAAGTCAAAAGTAGTTAAAAATGGATGGCAATGCTACAGGCTGCACACTGTCACCACGGTTACCACATACCAGGTGTATGATCAGAATCGGTCACAGGAGCAGGATCGTGTGAGTATGAGGTATCCAGAGAGATCCTCTCTCCAAAAATGTTTCCCTCATTAGTGTACAAGATGACCTTAAATTCACCATTAGGAATTTATGGCTTTGGATTACCATTGACTGTGTTTTTTAGAATTTTTATTAAAGGACATATATGTTTTAAGGGAATAATATACTTTAATTATTAGCTATGGAACAGCTGCCTAACACCTCTTATGATTCATGATGTCTAGCTGAACGCAAGACTCTGTATGGAAGGGTTCCTTGGAAGGTTGCCTGGGGGTTGGTATATAGACTAATTGCCCCAGCTCCTGGCTTGACTTGGTCCAGATGAGTCTGTGGCCTAATCAGAGTCTGAGTAGTCAGGAAACGCAGGAGCCATATAGGAGGGAATGGAGCCTTCTCTCCTGTCCCTTCTTACTCATGTCAAGGTTATTATCCCCTTTTACATGACATCTCCCACAATTTTCTGATTGACCTCCTCAGATTCAGCATCTAATTTACACTGTCACCCTGTTAGCCTTTCTGCAATGCAACCGTCATTCTTACTCATCCTCAAACCTTTCTAAAGGTCATTTCTTACTTTGTGAGCTACAGGAAGATATTCAGAATTATGGTCACTGTTATTTCAGAGCACATTGTACCCTTAGCCAGACTTTAAGTTTCTTGAGATCAGGTCTGTGTTCTATATGACTTTAGTGTTCTAACTCCTGTCATAGTGCAGTGCACACAGTAGGAGCTTAATACACACTGACTTGCTGATTCACCATGTGGAAAACTAGCAATGACTTCATGGGACTGCTTGGCCACCAGAGAAGGCCACAGAATTGGCTTCAGGCACTGGCTTTTCACTGACCTTTCCTATAATTATAGGGACATAAAGTTACCACTTATTGAATCTGTCAGTTTTTGGTGAGGCATTTCCCACCGATTTTCTTAATTTGTCCTCTCACCAACTTTTTGAGGTAGATGTTATTTTCTTCATTTTACTGCTTAACCAGTAAACGGTAGAGTTGGAATTCAAACCCAGGTCTTTCTGATGCCAAAATCTGTACTCTTTCCATGCTAGCATTATAGTTTTGGATTTTTCATTTATACTGTGGAGATAAGAACCTTATTGGCATTTGTGACTTTATGGTGATATTGACCAGATAAATGAAATAATAAGGTAGGTCCTTCAATGAGTAAGAAGTGTCTTCTGCTCTTAATAACTAACTAGTACAGGGTTTTTGTGGCCCATAGTTTTTCCTCTGAACTAGTCTGACTTCTTTCAAGCAGTACATAGGTAGTAAAAGAATACAATTCGGTTGTAAAAAGGCCTTTTGCAAGGCACAGTTTCTCAATTACTTTGGATAAATGAGAGATTTACACATCTGCTATAGAGTACCATTTATTGCACTAGGAGAAACTAAGGTGAGAAAAAGCACATGTATATAAGCCCTTACTATTGGTAATATTGGGTATAATATAAATTTGTGAAATGACCGGCATTCATCTGGTGAAATTATGATTGAAGTATGACAGACTATATATATACATATATGAAATCTGTCACACTTTTTATATATATGTATATATATATATGTTTTCTTTTCTCAAATAAAACAGCAATTTTCATCTCTCCTGATCCAAGCATAGAAAGAGTGGCAAAATTAACATAATGTCCTTTCATATGTGCAATATTTTCTCTCCATCTAGTGAAATCTAGGGATGTTTATATAAAACCAGTTATCCTAATTACTTATAATATGATGGTGTAATCTGAAGAAAGAAATAAATTTGGAATAGCTAATAGAAAACCACACAAAATTGTACCTAGAATTTTATTTTATATATGTATGTATGTATGTATGTATGTATGTATTTATTTATTACTATTTATAATTTTTTTGAGATGAAATCTCGCTCAGTCACCCCAGGCTAGATGGCTGTGGCCCAGTCTTGGCTCACTGCAACCTCTGCCCCCCATGTTCAAGTGATCCTCCTGCCTCAGCCTCCCAAGTAGCTGGGACACAGGTGTGCACCACTATGCCTGGCTAATGTTTTGTATTTTTGGTAGAGACAGGGTTTCACCATGTTGGCCAAGCTGGTCTCAAACACTTTACCTCGGGTAATCTGTCTGCCTTGGCCTCCCAAAGTGCTGGGATTACAGGTGAGAGCCACTGTGCCCAGCCTATACCTAGAATTTTAAATGCCACAAATGTGAGTTACAGAAAGAAGGTTATTTCAATCCAAATATAGCCAATTTAAGTGGTTCGTGACATAAAAAGACAACATGAGTGCAGTATAGTTTCTTTCAATGCTTGGGGCTTTGATTGTAGTAATTTGGTGGCAGGCAAAGTGTATGACTCTTAGAATCATGGACTTTTATTACTGTGACATTAGTTCTCTCAGAAAAAATACTAAGCGTAAAGTAACATGTAAATATCAAATGGGGTAGTTAAAAGAGCACAGAAGTACAAAAGATTTATCTGAGTTCTAGTTCTTGTGCTACCTACCAGTGGGATTTTTCATGAAACCAATCTTTCTGGGGACTGGGAAAATGACAAAGTTGAGCTAGATGATTTCTCACTTATTTACTTCAATAAAATTTGGTAACCCTGTAATTAAGGATTGGAAGAGTTTGTATATGACAGCCAATTATTAGCTTTATATCTAGTTTAAGTTATGTACTAAATGTTTCCTTTCTTTTAATGGTAGTAATCCTCTGGCTCCTCTGCACACATTTTTAGATTTATATCCTGAAAAATTATTTATATTTTGTCTCTAAGCAAAAAAAAATGCCCTAGTAAAAATAAGTGGGGAAAACATTATATCTCCTTGTGTTTGATTATATCCATGGATTCAAATTATTGTTTCATCTTACCTTGACACTCTGTTATGTAACTGCAACACTTGTCCCATAGGCAGGGCCTACTTACCAGCTCCTTCGTTCTGGGCTGAGCCCTGTGAGTTGCTTTGGCTAATGGGATGTTTACAGGTGCGAAGCAAACAGAAACTTGAAAGAGTTTTGTGAGCTGAGTTTGCATTCTCTTGCACCTCTGCCATCACTCAGAGAGGAACATTCCTGGGCTAGGTGATTGATTCCAGGAGGTGGATAAGAGACAATCTGGAGCACAGCCACCCTCAATGAAACCCAGGCTCCATTAGTTCACAGAATCAGATCTTTAGGCTTGTAAACTATAATCAATAATACTCTTATTTGAAATACTGAATTTTAGGGAAGTGTTTAATGTTGCAATAGATACCCATATGCTTCTAAACAATTTTAATTGGTAGAAAAATACTCTATGTTCAAACCTATATTATCAAATAACCAGAAAAATTAATAATTGCATTGTTGATATAATCCATTGATGAGGTTATTACGATATTCTCCTTTTGTTCCCCCAAAACATAAAAGTAAAGAGACACAGCCTTTTAGCAATAGGATTAGCCAATCTTACCTGTATGGAAACACTGCTGTAAGAGCCACCAATGACCCCTGCAATGAGCAGTGGGATGTTTTCTTGAATGGCGTAGGATCCGTCAGGACACATATACTCTGCTTCATCCACTTTTGTTAAAGATGCCCTGACAAACTCCAGTGATTGCTCTAATGCATAGGTATCCCTTGAGCATGTATCCAAAATGTGAACACCCAGCTTCACTCCTGGTAGCAAGTAATCATCTTTGTTGATTTCGTCAATAGCAAACAACATAGCTTCCAGGCGTTGGATCCCTCGATCTTCATTGATTCGCCCACATTCTTCAGTTCCAGTGCCTTTTTCATTAATAGGAAATAGCCCCCCTAAAACAAGGTCACCTTCTATTTTAATCTCTCTCCTTAGAAAGTTATGGTCCCCTAAAGAGAGTAAAAATCCCTTTGAAAACAAAGCTAAGGTAAGAACTTGGAGTCTTGTCAACATCTTCATGAATCCTGTTTCTGTACCTCTGGGAGATATCAATGGTGAAGCCAATGTGTCATGCTAGTCCTCTCTCATTTCCAAACTGGATCTTTGGCCTGTCCTTCAAATAAAGGAGGAACAGACTAATAGAGCCTGTCACCACGTTCCTAAAGAGATAAAAATTATATGAACAAAAATGGTAAAGAAAGCAACAGTGATTACATCGATCATGCCCAATCAGACCTTTAATGGGATGGCTCAGAAAACCATTTACTACACACACAGTACACCACTGCACCAGGCACTCTCCCACAGGTATTCTCACTCCATCCTTACGCACTCCATGATGTAGGTCCTAGTGGTCCCATCTCACAGAAATGGGCACAGAGCATCAGAGAGGTGACCTGATGAAGTGTACTTATTACAGGTTGGGTTTGGACTCCAGTTTTCTTTTCTTTCCAAAGCCAAGTCCAGTCCTCTCTCTACTGAGTCGTTTGCTTTGTTTTGGGTAGGGTAGCAACATGGATATGAGTTTATACTCCTTCTCTTTCACCTGCATTTGTAAACTAACCTTTTTTATGGACTCTTCTCCTTTCCATTTAAAACACAACAAAACACAATAAACTCTGTTGCCATTTCTGCATTTCTACCACCGTGTCTCTGTCCTTCCCTTGATAGATGAACTCTCCTGGCCCATTGAGGTTAAGATTCTGCCCCAACTGCTCTAACAAAGGAGTTGTGGAAAAAGCTGCTACTTGTCTACTAGTTTCCAAATTGAGTAAACTATAAACTCACTGTAGTCCTCATTTTACTTGACCTTAATTGAAATCTTGACTATTCTCTACCTCTTACAACTTCCTAGGTTTCTGTTCTCATGCTTCATCTTCACAACGTCTCAAATTCCATTGTTTAGCACCTGCCTTCCCTCATACTCCCACTACCCCTTCTTGGGTCAACTAATCTATTTTCATAGTGTCAGCTAAAACTTAAATGAGCTCCAGTCTTCTCGGGTCAACTGCCTGCTAAGCAGCTGTACCCACACTCTCTCAGACACCTCACGGTCTACCTGTGGATCTTCTCTGTTTCCAGGCTCTCAAGCCAGAAATCTGCACCCTAGAGTCGTCCCCACTTCACCCCCGGCCACCGTCTTTCAATTAGCCACTAAGCCCTGCAGAATCTAACCACTTAACGTCTCCTAAAGCTACCACTTATTCCTTATTCCCACCTATGCTGAGCTCTTATAATTTGTAGCAGGACCGTAGCAATAAATTCGTAGAGAGCTGCTACCACCCTCCAGAGCACCGTGTTGAGCATTAGGAAAAAATACCCACTTTACAAGTACATGATTTCTCAACTTATTGTTGCATAACCTGTACAACTACAGATGATGGGGCAAGTTTGATTGCTGGTGGCTGCCTCCCCTATCCAGAGTGAGGCAACTCCTCATTTGGTCCTCACGTCTTAGGGGGTACAATGAATGCTAGTGCTGGAGTGAACACAGTAGACTCCAGCTTAGGACAGTTCCATAAATTAAGCATCTTTTTACATCCTAGGCTAGAACAGATGGATCTACTGGGAATCAGGCAAAGCCGTGCTGTGAGGATCATGTTTTTGACAGTAGTCTGGGATCTTTCTAGGGAGCTTTCCAAAACTTTGGAGTGGAGCACTCTAGTTGCCTGCACACATGAACGCATGTATCTGCTGTTGAATTCTTTAACACTCAGCTTTCTAGCAATAGAGCAAACACTTGGTCAGCACATTTACACTGCTTGCTTACTTCCATTCCCTTAGATCAGATGAGCTTATTATTTTCAGAGTCAAGTGAGGGATGTGACCACATCGGGCTCCTAGTGCATTTTTCTGACAGGTTGCAGCCACATGCCCTTGTGTGTGCAGTTGAGCATGCCTGTCTGCTCTCCAACTTTCAAGAATGATTGTGTATTGGAAGGGTTTTATGAAGGAAGGGCTTTCATAGCTGTTCCAAGACCCCATCAGGATGCCTAAACGCCATACCACCCATGTGCTTTCAGATAAATTTGCAAATGTTAGCAAATTGAATGATGTCTCATTGAGCCAGACACTCTAATACACAATCTGAGTTACTATTCAGTGTAGCCTATCTTCTATCAACGTATACTGGCTTTCCTTTGCCCACAGGTTTAAGAACTAACTCATTATAAATCTCTTCTCAGTGCTTTATGATCTTGTCCCTGGCTAGCTCTAAAGCTATTGAACTATGTGCACTCAGTAGACGTTCAGGATGTTGATAACCCCTTGCTTTTGCTCATGCTATTCCCTTTTGCCAAGAATGTCCTTCTATACTGATTTCTCCAGCAAACACCTACTTATCATTTAAGACGCAACAGTTACTACCAGGAAAGACCAAGTATTCTGTCCTATTTCCCTTCCTCAATCAAATTGTTGATTTCTGGCTCTATATTCCTGTTATAGTTTGTTCAAGAAATATTTGCCATTGCTATTTTGCTTTATGTTTGTTTTCTTATGTGCTCATTGAGAATTAATGAAATGGCAAACCATTTAGAATTTTCCAAGTGCCTAGGAAGGAAAGAACTCAACGAAACAAGCAAGACAGGAGCTAGTCCAGTGTTTACTTCAACATTTTTGACATTTCTCCCTTTTCATATTAGCAGTGCCCTTTAAAACCTAGATTTCCACTTGCTTCCTGTTCTTTTCACATGCAGCAAATGATGGGCTGTTTTCCTGAGCTACACAGCCAGCTGGGCTGTTTTGTTTGTTTGTTTAGGTATGAATCTCAGCACTGAGGCAGCAACCATTGGAATGCTCAGTATTAACTCAGAGCCTCCCTGGGCGATCTGCCACAGGGCACCAGAAAGTCTAATAATAATAATTTTTTTAAAAAGTTGATACTGTGGTAGATTTTTTTTTTTATATCAATTTCTGGTCTCTTTGATCTTTATGTGGAATTCCCTTTGAAGCAAAACTGCCATGGAAGGCAAAAGACACTGTGATCATTATCACTAATGATAAAAATGCAGACATTTCTCTATAAAATAATTGTTTTATGTGCCTAGTAAAAGAAAATAGCTAATTAAAAGAAGGCTATCAACATGGGCTTACCATGTATCTTTGCAAAAGGTATAGACATCTTTTGATGTAAAGAAAGTTTGGCTACTCAAAGAGTAAAGATTACCTTATAGTCTATGGAAAGCTTAATTCTCTGCTGGGAAAGGGCTCTTAGACAAAAAAGACTTCAAATGAGAAACATTGCATTACACGGAAAGAATAGTCTCTCCTTTCCAAACTGGATCTTTGTCCTGTCCTTCAAACAGGGAAGGAACAGATGAACAGGGCCTGCCACCAAACTCCTAAAGAGATGAAAATTACATGAACAAAAATGATAAAGAAAGCAACAGTGTCCATTAGTCTACCTATTTCACAGGTAAGGACTGTGTTTTATTTCTCTTTGTGTGTCTAGATTCTGGCATAGTAGAAGAATTCAATGAATGTTTCTTGAAGGAATATAGACATCCATGACATCTGTGTTTGCACATGGCTCTTTACTATTTATGGCATGAGGAACAGGAATTAAATAAGAGAAATGCATTATTTTTCCTTTATTACCTACATGGTCACATCTGATGCTTTTCCCTTACTGCACTCTTTGATCATATGGTTAACCAACTGGTAGAAATATAGTAATGACTTTGTATTATGCAAGAAAAAATGCCGCCTTTGTATTTGAATATTGCAACTGAGACTGGCATCTAGGAAACCAGAAGAGATGTGGACCTGAACTGACCTACATTTACTTCTTAAATTTGTGGTCAGGAGTATACTAAATAAGGAACATGCACATTATTCTATCTCAAAGCTTCAGAGATGCATTCACTTATGAAATATTTATTGAATACCTACTATGTATGTACTAGGCTAGGCTATGGGCTGGATACCCAGGATATATACCTTAGTTGTAAACAAACATCGTCCCTGCTGTCAAATAACATTCCAAATGCTTACACATTTTTATATAGAGAGTGCTAGAAAAATATACATCTCTGTTTTTGCCAATGATTTCCATCATTAGTGAAAATCTTGAAAGTTTGTATACCATAGGTTTCCTTCAACATGATAATCGTTAAGTGCTGTACTCAAAAAATGATTTCCTTATACTACATGTGTTATATAAATTTAAAAATTAGATATGCAGACCATAAGTTGGCTGATGATAATGTCATGTAAACTATTTTTCCTTTTAGCTCTCTGACAGGGCATATTTAAGTAACATTTAATCTCATCTTAGAGAATTGCAAATCAAAAATCAATTAATGTTTAAATACACTGTCTTTGTATTTTTATTTACTTTATAGCAGAATTTATAGTGATTAATACTGTAGGACTATGCATAATTCAGAGACACAGCATTATTTAAAATGAAGCCTTAAGAAACTAAAAACAAAAAAAAAGATAACATTGAAAATCAGACAAACATACTTAATTCAATGCCACTGTTTACCTCTGTGTAACAGTTTATGGGATTGTGTGAAAGGGTACCAACCACCTCTTTTCAGGTACTTTTCAGTATAAATCAGCCAGCAGCACATTCCTCAGATAAGCAGGCTTCCTACTGCAGCCGCATTCATATGCAGCTGGAGAACTGCATCTCTACAGTCAAAGTTCTCCATTCAGGGATGATGAGTGATGTGTCAACTATAAACAAGCATGTGTAACCCTCTCCGTAGGCAACTTGCTCACCAATGTTTTATTAATCGATGCATTAATAGAATGTCAGAGGTTTGCTGTGAATATAACCCCTGGAATATGTAAGCTCAAAGCATTTCTATACTCTGCATATGCTAATATGTATTTTTGTCCTCTCTTTTCTCAGGAACTTGGTGTCAGAAATGAAATGCACTTTCAGTCAATGTGAAAGTAGTTTATCCAGGAAAAAGAAAGGGTCTATCTGGGAGATACAATGCCTGAAATCATACATACTCTTTCCCAGAAATAAATCCTTAAATTGCTGAAGGGCTTCTGAAAGTGCTCAAATCCTGCACACTCAATCAATCTGGAGCAAAATTAGGGTTAGTCCCAGTATGTGCAATTTGATTATGTTCTATAATTTTTCAACTGTCGGTATTACAGACAACAAAGGGCATAGCTCTTGCTCTTAGACTGACATTTTCAG